TGAGTGTGATGGTGAGTGTGAAGTCATAGCGGTTATGAGCCGCTGTTCAGAGTTAACGCAGACGATCGCTACAAACTGAGCTATTTCGAAGGTACAACGGTCGTTATGGTTGTGTGGGGAAAAGGAGTTAGAAATGTCATTGATAGACAGATGTCGAGAAGTCCTCTAACTACTCCCCTAGAAAGAGGAGTGATGAAACTGCCTCTCAATGTCTTTCCACCAACAACTTGTCCCATTTTTTGAAAGTTACACCACTTTATCACTTTGAGTAATGGTAATGTTGACTCATCCAATACCACTTACCCTTTTCATGAACTTTGCTCAAAGATGTATGATCTTGGCTGATTCATAAATAGGGCCATGCAATGGAGCACCTATCGATCTCGTCTTAACTACGCACTCGAGAGGCGAAAAAGTTGGTCGCACCATACAAGACCAGTCCAGCGACGTTCTATTCGTACCACATTTAATACCTTTGACGAACCTTAGCAAATTGATCAGAGAAAACTGAGTAGGAGACTTCGGCTTGTCCATACGTTTCTTCCAATTTTGACGTATCAAAGCACGGACACATCTGACGCTGAACTCCACATCGAACTGTAAATAACAGCTTTTTGAATAAACTTCATCTACTCCGTATAAAGTTTTTCCCAGCTTACTTTCAAAAGGGAGAACATCGCCTTTGTTAAAAACCCAAGCACAGCTAAGTTATCAGCAGAAAGCGAGCCGTTGGACAGATCATCTGAGTATCGCAGTACAAATAGGAATAATTTTGACAGAAGTTTCTTGTTGCCCTTCCGCTAGACTTGGATGATAGCACTTTATGAGCCTAAAAAAGGACAGTTGTAATGGTATCGTGATCAAAAGGCTTTAAATGCGAGCCTTGTCCAAAATTGGCTTGAACTGTATTATTTTCAAAAGTGAACGAATTGTACGGGAAAGTTACCGCTGCAAAACAACATCGATCTTCCTTGCAGGATATTTGTTCAAGAGTTTTACGAGAGCTTCAAACTTTCGCGGCATTTCGAAGACGAAGGGCACATCAAGGTCAGCGTCAGCTGGAAGGACCAATATGAGAAGAAGCACAGAACTAGAACAAGGTTGATGAGAAGACTATGAACCTATTTCAGTCCGTTGCCCACGATTTTTCGTTTTTGTTACTTGTGTGCTGCTTCGCAGCAACCTGTCCCTCCTTGCTTTCTGCCTCATCTCTTTCCGCACCGTCCTCTGATCCATCATCACTACTGCTCTCTTCCTCGTCCTCATTCTCATCTTCTTCATCGTCTTCTTCTTCGTCACTTTTATTGCCATCAATTTCTGCTGCTTTGCTAGTACCATCCTTTGGCTGTTCTCCATCTATAAGCAATAATCTAAGCAGTTCTAGTGGCTAAAATAGAATTAGGGCCGATAAGCTTCCTATAAGGATGGCGTATGTTGAAAAAATATTACTTTATTCTTCCTATCTCAATGGATGTACAAGTCAGTGTTTTTATCCTCCCAGACAAGTGTGGTACCAATTAACCGACCCTGGAGGGATGGAAGGCTTGGCTGGCTCGGACGGAGCACGACCCATGAATAGCATCACTTCGTGAGCTTCGAATTTAAAAGTTTCAACTTTAATGAGTTAAAGATAAAGATAATGGAACTGAAGAAATGATATAAAACGTGCAAAACTGGATGTGATTCGCACCGTCGTGTTCTTCGATCAAGTCGTCCAGATCTTCTTCGTTTTGGTCCTCTTCTTCCTCGTCTGTTAGTTCCTCATCGGAGTCTATGGCTACTTTCTTCTTAGATACAGGCTCCAACTGAAATCTCGCATATGCAGACGATAAATTACCATCTTAGACACCACAAATTCCAATGATCACCTTATCTGAGTTCAACAGCTTGCCATCGGAACCGAACCGCACTTCGAAGCCAACCTTCTTTGCCTTTTTCTTTAGTTTATCATCAAATTGCTCAGCATCGACGGAATGATGCCCCTTTTTTGTTAGTCTGAAAACACTTAATATTGACGAATGCCACACCAATTTTTAACAAATATGTTACACATATTAATGACGGCTACATGAAGACCTAGAGACACTACCTCTGCGTTCATCCTAGCTCTCCTAAGAGATTCCATTTCTTCCAAATAATGTCGTTCCTCCACTGCCAACTCTTCAGCAGTTTTAGTGCGCTCCGCAGGCGTAGCCCTTGAGTCGGCATCAATTTTAAGGCTGAACGCCTAAAATAAATACAATTTCAAGATTCAAATCTATCACTTATTGTTTGAAACAGTGTTGGTTTGGCTCTTGGAAAAGAGAAAACTGAATTCACGGGATCTTGTGAAGTAAAGGAAAGGTTGCACTACGATGCTAGTTTACCTAAATCTGTACTATTTAATAAAGTAAATAAAAAGGATAAAGGATAAAGCATTTGCCGTTGATCAATCCCTTTTTGGGATGCGGCACGCATTCTACTTCCATTTGTACATTCGCAGTGGCGTTTGAATGCGATGTGGCCTATACAATGACTTGCGGGGGCCAGCCGATGTTCAAGTCAGTGTTTTTATCCTCCCAGACAAGTCTGGTACCAATTAACCGACCCCGGAGGGATGGAAGGCTTGGTTGGCCCGGGCGACTCACGACCCAGGATTTGATCCCGGACCGCTCGCGTGGTGAGCGCGCCACTTGTCACTACACCACTTCCGCCCTAAAAAAGTAATAAGTCCTAATTGCCAAAAAGAAACAATATACCCAACTTGTCAAGGTTCTTACCAGAGTTTTTGGAAGAGGCGCGTATTTGGGAGATACTTTTCCAGTGGGAAACTTACCAGCTTGTCATAGTCGTCTTTATCGCTCTTTTCAGCTTTTGTGGCTCCAACTGGCCGGAACACGCCTTTCACTTTGTCCAGAAGTTTGAGATACTTCGCATCTAGATCTTCAGTCACAGTTTCCTGATGAAACTGCAAATAAAAAAGAAAGAACAAGAGCGGTACTCCATGCTAACTCACCATTTCATCCTTAGCAATATGCTTCTCCCGCGAGCTTGCCCTTGTCGCGATCAAATCGGCTATTACATCTTTGCGACTCAGCTTTCTTCAGGTTTATTGGGATTGTCGAAATCACCTCCGCCGAAATGCGCAACTTTCACCTGAAAGATACCTTTCTGGTGAAGTAAAGCAGAAAAATCAGAAATGGAACTGAAGGTGATTTAGATTTTATTTATTTCTTCACTTCAACTGAATAAATTTCCACCAATCTAACCAATTTGCATGATGGAAAAATACTAAGCGTCCCCGGAATACACTTTCATTATATTAATTCCATTAGCTTCGACTAAAACTTCCCCATTTTTTTTTTCCCCCTTTATGTAAGATAGTGAGAGCCCTATTATACTCTGGTCGAATACTTATTTTTGTCACTTATCTATGTTCACTTAGCCTAGAACCGATCTTTGTTGTACAGTATCTCATTTCCCAACTCACTCTCCTTCTACTTTATCTCCCCTTCTTTCAAAGCTCTCGTGGATCTCATGACCTCCACGTCAGCACTGCCTTAGGATCACAGCCTTTGTTGCTACTACTGTCATTCGAGATCTCTCGCAGCGGTTCGCTCGTGCAATAAGGTTCTAAAAAATCTAAGTGGACACCTAAACCCACAATAGCACCCACGACCGCGGCCCGAACTTAAGACCTTATTTATTGCACGCAGGCTCGACCGTTTCCCTCCACATAAGGTGCATGAAGAATCCCAGTAAGAAATAAAAAACCAACCACATCTGCGCCAATGTTACCATTACCATCGTCCTCATCATCAGAGGCTATAGTCTTATCATACTTTTGGATGTCAGTAAGAGCTCTGCCACCATGTGTTAGCAATTCTGAAAAGAAGCAGCAATAAACTAAGATCACTCTCATCAGACAGTGAAGCAATGCTGCGCAACAAGTGCCCTCTATTTGACTTTCACTAGTGTATTCCCACACCCCGAAACCTCATCCCCATACCAGATTGACCTATTTCCACTATATAATCAATCAAAAAATCGCAACAGTAATCATGCGGCACCGCAAACTGCTAGTTGTGACCAGTTTCTTGCACTAAACCTAGACCATGCTACCTAATCCACCCACTCGAAAACCGTATCCATAATTAAAGAGACTCACTGAGGTGGTCCTGCGCCTTCTATGTATCAGCAAAAACACACGAAACAGGTTCCCAAAGACGTTACAGCTATTCAGCCAACGAATTAAGAAATGAATGGAACAAAATGGGAGACCGGAGGAAAATAATTAATGACATACCCTCGTTTTCTTCGTTATCATCAGTCAGGTTGAACTTGCTACCTTTCTTCAAATGTTTGGCACGTTCAGCCGCGAACCTATTAATCTCGATTAAAAATCAGGAAAACCATTTCAACCAACTTCCCATGAACTCACCTTAAGGAAGCCTTTTCTTCACTAGTTATATTCTTGTTCTTTTCGCCTATGCGCTTATCAACAATCTAAAAATAACGAAATTTTCAAATTTATTGACCCACAGGAGGCACTCAATGAACTCATGATCGTGGCCGTTTTTCTCGTCTTCTTGTGGATACGCTTCATCCTTCCATGCTTCTAATGGAACGTACTAACTAACGGATTCAGTACCTTATTCACTTTTCCAATTCGATCGTATTCAACTCCTAAGGTCTTTTCCCGCTGTTCATAAGCACGTTTACGCGATAGTCCAGGATGTCCAACACCGGCGGCACTTTTTTTCTTTCCGAGCACCTTAAAATGCGAGTCAAATCTCAGATGTAGAATAATCTAAATCTCCGATGTAGAATACTTACATCATACTTCGACCTGTTGAATTTCAGCTCGAACGGGTTGACTTTTGGAGCTCCCTTGGACTTCTTTTTGTTTGTGGCTGGCTTTTGCCGCTTTTTACTGACCATTATCGAGGCCTGAAAATAATTTTTCTTCTTGAAAATTCAATTTGCAACCTTAAAAATCCGAAAAGCATATAAGTGAAGATACAGTTAGAGCATTCATGAAAAGAAACCAAAGAACTCCGGTAATTTAAGAAATAAATGCTTTATCAAACAGGTACAGTGTACTTGCGTACAACACAGCTACATAGACGACTACCGTTCCCAATAATTGGATAACACAATGCTCCGTATCAATTGTTTACGTTGAACTTGCTTAGGGGTGGTGTATTCACTAGCTTCACTCACAGAATAATGTCTTCACACTCCGCAAGTTTGGTACGTTCATTTCAGAGTGCTTACTACTCATCAAACCGCAATACCTGTAAATCAAGACACAATTATTACCAAAGTCAAATTTAAGGGCTGAGCTTTACGACCAATTGAATAACACAGCACAATCTCAAGACAGGTTTCTTATAGCTGTTGTTCTGAGCGCCATTGAGAGATTTGCCTTTACGCTACAATTCGACTTCGCATCGCTCGGAATCATCTGTTGCGACCCTTAATCAAATGCACCATCGTACATAGGAGGTTACAAGACTTCTGTCAACCAAAGAGTGAGAGCGTAGACGGAGAAGCACACCCCTGGTGTAGTTCTAAAGCCAAGCTCAAAGGAAACAAGGATAGCGGAGGTATTGCAATAGTGTGCATGTGTGAGAGCTACCAGACAGCACCAGCTGAATTTCCAGGTCTCAGGACATCTGTCAACCGTGAGCCTTGGCGGTTCAGCGTTTTGTAGTGATGTCTGGGAGCTCTCACAAGTGCACACTATCACAGCATCTCCTCTTTCTT